TGCTAGCTTTAAAAATTCCCCATATATTTATCTCTACTGGAGATTTTTTACTGCTTCATGTAGCACTTGGGAACCAGGCATCAAGTTACTGACTAGGGCCCTTTAATTTCAACCTGAGGGATTTCCCTTTGGCATTTCTTGCACAGCAAGTCTAGTGGTAATGAACTCCCTCAGCTTATGTTTATTTGGGAGTGGTTCCTTCATTTTTGAAGGATAGTTTTGCCAGACAGACAATTCTCAGTTGACAGTGTTTTTTCTTTCGGCATTTTAAATATATCTACCTATTGTGCTCTGTCCTCCAAAGTTTCTGATAAAATGGCAATAATTCTATTGAAGGTCCCTTGTAATCTATCTGACGGGTAACTTCTCACTCTCAGGATTGTCTTTGGCCCTCAATGGTTTGGCTATAATGTGTCTCGGTATGAGTCTCTTTCCAAGTTTATCCTAGTTGCAGTTTGTTGAGTTTCTTGGATTTGCAGATATGTCTTTTATCAAATAGGAGAAGTTTTCAGAATTATTTATTCTATTTCTCGCTCTCTTCCCCTTCTGAGACTCCTGAAATGTGTGTGTTGGTCCACTTGCTGTTCCCCAGGTTCCTTAAGCTCTGTTCACATTTCTTCATTCTTCATTCCATTTATCAGGCTCAATAATTTTCCTATTTTCAAGTTTGCTGATTCTTTATTGTCTGCTCAAATCTGCTTCTGAACTCCTCTGGTGAATTTTCATTTCAGTTACTGTTCTTTTCAGATCTAGAATTTCTTTTTGGATCCTATTTGTAATTTATCCTTATTGAGTTATTCTCATTTTGTTCATACATTTTCAATGGACTTTGTCCATGTTTTCTTTGAGCATCTTTAAGATAGCTGTTTCAAAGTCTTGTCCAGTAAGTCTGACATCTAGGCTTCTTCAGAAATATTTACTGCCATTTATTTTTTGTTTTGTTCGAATGGGCTATACTTTCCTGTTTCTTGTACGCCATGTAATTTTCTTTATCACTGAAAAACAGACATTTTAATCTTTTAACGTTGTACCTCTGGAAATCAGATAATCCTCCTCCCCTTGGGTTTGCTTTTTGATTGTTAAAGAGTGCCTCTGTGGTGAAGACCAGCCTGAGGGAAAAACGTCTCAGTTCTTCTCAGGTTTTTTCTGAACCTGCCACTCCCCTGGCCAAGTGCCGGAGCTTTCTAAATTTTCTCTTATATATGGTTGCTCTTGAATGTCCTAATCCTTAAGTGCCTGACTCCCCAAAAAAGCAAAAACAAATCAATAGAAACCCACAGGTGTCACTCCATTAGATCCCACGAAGATGCTTTAGCCAGTGTGGGCAGAACCAATGGTGCCCAGCCTCCATCTGAACTCAGGGATCCAAAGCAGCAATCACAACACAGAGCCCTGGTATTTGGAGAACAAGGTCCTTATTGCTCATCCTGGCTCCAGCAAACTGCACCAGGAATGTGTGCATGACTGTCTACCATGCACTTGGGAACCAGGCATCCAAAACTGATGGAAACTAACCACAACTTACCAGGCAAGCTTCCCATTAGAGGCTGCAAGTTGTCAAGTAGACTCCCGAGTTCGAAAATAGTTACTTTGGTTAGTTTCTGCCAGTGCCATTTTTGTCTAGGTGGGGATACAGATCCCTGGTGCTTCCAGGTCTGCCATCTTCTCTGACATCATTCCCCTCCCATGAATTTCTTAAGGTAACACTTGTATTTCTAAAAGTAATTTTGGTTTTGATTTCCTCAATACATATTTTAAATGGTGAGTTAATTTCTAAGTGGAAATATTTTTGCTTTTTATCCTTTTGTTGTTGATTTCTCATTCTATTTTTCCTTTCTTTCTTTTTTTTTTTTTTTAAAGTCTTGCTCTGTCACCCAGGCTGGAGTGCAGTGGCGCAATCTTGGCTGACTACAACCTCCATCTCCCAGGTTGAAGTGATTCTCCTGCCTCAGCCTTCTGAATAGCTGGGACAACAGGCGCCCACCACCACGTCCAGCTAATTTTTGTATTTTTAGTAGAGACAGGGTTTCTCCATGTTGGCCAGGTTGGTCTCGAACCCCTGACCTTAGGTGATCCACCCACCTCGGCCTCCCAAAGTGCTGGGATTACAGGTGTGAGCCACTGCTCCCGGCCTCTATTTTCTTAAGGGCAGAAAATAGGCTTGTGTTATTTCAGTAAATTGGCTTTTCAGTATTTTGACTGAGGTTTACTTTGGGGTCTACTACATGGTTAAATTTTGTGAACTGTCCATCTGTGTTCGAGAATATTAATAAAAAGGTATCTATTTGTTCTGTATATTTCTATTAGAATAAGCTTGTTTACTGACTTACTCAAATGTATGCCATTTCTTTTGGTTTATAAAATCTTTTGATTTCTGAGAGTGAAATGCATGTTAAGTGTCCTACTACTGTGTCTATTTCTCCTTGTATTTTGCTTGTAATTTTCATTTATTATGCCAGATGCATGAAGATGACAGCTTTAAGACTTTCCTTTTATTATTTACTTTTCTTTTGATGTGCATGCTTAACATTTCAGCATAAACTTACATTTTTCCAAAAAATTCAGATTTAATAAAAATTTGTGTCCTTTCTAAGCAAGAGTATGCTTTTTTCTTTTTATCTCATTGCCCTCATTCATCTCTTTCCTTGAAATAATATGGAAATTTAGTTTCCAATTGTTCGGCTTCTTTGCTTTGGGTTAATAGTTGCTTAGCAATGACTGAAATTTTACTAATTTCTGTACTCAACATTGTTTCTCATTGCCCATGTATTCCTGTTAGATGTGCTCATTTTGCTATCCAGTTTCTCTTGGAAAGGATCTATGGGTCAAAGAATTTCTGATTCCTGAAAATGTGTTAATTTTTCCTCTTAGTGTAGAATGCTAATTTGACTGACCTTAGGATTCTGGGCTCAACATTATTTTTCTATAAAGGTAAAGAAACATAATGTGGCTGCTGGAATGAGAAGCAGGTTGCAGAGGTTTTCTGTAAGATGGGACGGACAGCATGGAGGGGACACCGCTGATGACTCAGGGACAAGGGGCTGTCTGAGCAGCTGAGGGACCCTGGGTTCACAGCTGGAGAGATGGCCTTAAGTAGGAGCAGAGTGAGCTCATCCATGTGGGTAGGTTAAAAAGTGGATACTTCCTCTGTTGTGGATTTGTCTATTTCTACTGGTATTCTGTTTATGAATTCTGACTTGATGATGCAGATGCTTGAAGGGTAGCAAACATGGGTGTGAGAACTTACAGAAAGCAAAGTTGTCACCTGTGACTGAGGACAGGAGAAGTGCTGGAAGGCTGAGCAGAGGACACGAACCAAGCATCTGAAGAGCGGGGGGAAGTGGGGAATGGCCGCCGGGCAGCACCCAGGGCTCACTGGATTTAAGGTGGGACCAGTAATGATGACTGTGGGATTTTCTCTAGTCACATTCTAAAAGCAGAGTTGGATTTAACGCAGGTGTATGGTTTTACCACATAGATACAATAAAATGAGAGAGGCAAAGTAGTGTATATAAGAAAGTCACTTCCATTACTGGCCACGGAAGTTAGCAGATAGGGGAGGACAGGTGAAGAAGGGACCAGGGCTGATGACAGGCACTCGGCTGCAGTGTGCTGGGTCAATGGACCCAGCTCCTGTCTGACTAAGGAATCACCGTATGCCAGAGGTAACGAGCTGTGTGGCTGGAGAGTGTTGGGGACTGAGACTGTGAAGGAGTTGAGTTACTGGTAATGACAAGACCAAAGGTGGGGAGCAAGATCACCGGGAGGGGACATCAAGGAACTGAGATCAGGGCACCAGAAGGATTAGCTACAAGATACTAAGGCTGCCAGAAATTATTACAAGAGTCATACTGGGAAGAGTGAAAGCCAGGAACCCGAAGGCCAATAGGGAGGACTGATGGGTGGCAGGGTTGGATGATGAGATTCCAAGTTTGTTGCTTTAATGGAGAAGGGGAAATGGTCTGTGAAGACTGTATTTTCCAAAAACGGCCGTGGTAATACTTCTGGTCTCACATGATTTCCTGGGACTCTGTCCTGATCAGCCAAGAGGAAGCAGCTACTTCATCTCCATCTGAATTTGGACTTTTTTTTTTTTTTGGTCTGCCTTGATGAACAGGATATGGCAGAAGAGATGTTGGAGGCTGGGCTATGAAGAGCAACATGGTTTCTACCTGGCTCTTTAGCCTTTGGGATGCTTGTGTTCAGAATCCAGTTACCATCCAGTTATCAGTTAACTAGACTAGAGGACCAATGAGAGGCTCACATGGAGAGACAAAAGCCCCATCTAAGAGCCAGCATCAGCCAGATACGGGCGAGAACGAAGATTCGTCCGACTCCAGGTCTTCCAGCCAAGCCCAGACATGGGAGCCAGGACAGGTGATGCCTGCCATTCCTTCCTTGCCTGGACTCAACGCCCAGAATCTATAAGCAAAATGAACAGGTGTTCTGCACCACCACATGCTGAAGTGACTACAACAGCCTGCAAACAGGCCAAGAATGCGAGGGGCATCAGCTCTATGCACCAAGGTATGGGGGAAACGCCAGCTTTCTGTGAGCAGGAAGGTGAAGGGAACAGTCAAAGACAGGGTGGGTGATGGTAGATTTACGTGGAGTTTCAGGAGTCAGTGAAAGACCACAGAGCCGTGGCCATGGTGGCAGCAGGGAGATGTTTCTGGGGCAGGCTCACCCTTCCCCGCATCCACATGCTGAAATGTCTTACAAAGAATCAAAGAAATGTGAAAGTATATTAATTATGAGTAATAAACATATTTTGCTTTACTTTCAATCTGATATATGGAAATTTCATAAGACTTGACTGCAGTGTTAACTTACATATTGGAATGACAAAAAATTCAGTTCTCTGGTTTTTCAAGTGTAATAAAGATTATATTAACTTAATGGCTTAAATAAGGCTTGTTAACCAAACACAAATATTTCATTGACAAACTAGAATTTAGGTATTATGAAGGAGAAAACAATTTTCATAGATTCCCACTCTCTTAGTCCAAGGGATGAGGAATTTATTTCAAAGTTATACAAGTGCAAAGAAATAGATCTAGAAGCAGCAGGGGTTTCAAATGAGCAAAGATGGAAGAAATAGAAAGTTAATGTTTACTGACATAGGGAAATCCTCACAAGAGCAATGAAAAAAATCTATTTCCAAAGCTAGGAAAAAATGTTGGTCCTACAAGACTTGCATGGAAAATAATTAGATGTAAATGTCCTTAAGAAGAAACTGAAGGGAGTGGTTAGGGTTTTTCAAATATAAGAAATACAAATGTCATAAAATACCCAGAGGCCGTGTCCCTTTTTAGCAACACTCAGGATTTTAAGGAAAGATGACGCTTTGGAGCTCTGTGCCTTTGGCCTGTTGGTCAAGGTAATTTGTCAAGTTCAGGCACACCAACAGGCCTGCAAGCACGTTCAGGGGCTTATTTTGTTTTTAAAGAGCAACAACCAGAAGGCAGTGTCTTCAGGTGACAGAAGTGAGCACCTCCTAAGGACCCTGGGCATCTTCAGAGCCACAGCGCGGCCCAGCGGGACCGGGGATCACCACCAGCTTCTCCTCTCCTTTCTCAGGTGGAGAGAGACATGAGTTCGAGGTTTCTGGAAGACAGCCTCCCACAGAGGGCTAGCCTTCTAACTCCTCATCTGAATCTTTTCTATCATCAACACCCTGGCCATTCCTTTCACCACAGGTACAGCTCCGTACAATCTGGGGCTTAAAATTTCAATTCTTGGATGACCTGAAGATTCTTCCATGAAAAGGATTACTCTGAACTTAATTTTTTTTAAAAAAACAAAAGCCTCCAATGCTCAGAGATAAAGAGGAACAAACGTGCCATTCACTTGCGGCATCATAAACCAGGCCTGCTGGCAGCACAGCCGCTGGCTTCTCTCAGCATGTTCTCTGTGGATTTCCTGTGTGACTGCATGGAGGGCCAGGCCTGTCCTCACAGGCACTGCCACTGAAAATCCTGAGCCAGGCCCTGGCAAAATGAAATGAAAGGGATGACTCCACAGAAACAGACACAGGAGTCACACACATGCTGTCATGTCTCCCAGGCAGAACCCTCCAGGCAGAATTAACTCTTCCACCAGAAAGGTGGGAAGTTAGTTGTTACTTTTCTGTTCAAACACTTCTCAGGACCAAGAGCACACATAGTTGGAAACTTATGTTTGATTAGAATTTCTGATTAGAAAAGAATTTCTGAAATATGCTCAGCTTCACTTTCTGGGGTTTTGGTTCCTCATGGTCAACTCAAGTCTGAAAACATTAAATGGGAAATCCATTTTAACTTGCTCGCCATTGTGAGTATTGTGATGAAACTTCGTGCCTCCTGCTCTGTCATGCCCGGGACATGAATCAGCCCCGCATCCAGCTTCTCTGACCATTAGTCACTTAATGGTGGTCTTGGTTTTCAGATAGCAAGAAGGGTGATTACAGTATGATATTTTGAGAGAGACCACATTCACGTAACTTTTATTAGTTATTGACTGCTGTTAATCTCTTACTGTTCCTTGTTAAGCTTTGCCACAGTATGTACGTAGAGGAAAAAGCCACGTGTATACATATATGTAGGGTTCCACACATACTATCCACAGTCTTAGGCATCCACTGAGGGTCTTGGGATGTCTCTCCCGCAGATAAGGGAGGACTACTGTATAGTGTTTTCTGACTTTCTAATAACAGGAGACAATCCCTCATAATCTAGTGGTGTTAATAAAAAATCAGAATACAACAGACCCCCATTTATTTTAAAATGAAATTAGCTAGGCATCATACATACGAATGAAAGATCAGAATGAAATACACGAAGATATTAACAATGATTGTTTTGGGCCACAGAATCAGGCACAAGCTCAGGAGAGAAGCCCTTCTGCATGAGGGGCGGAGACACCGCTGAAAAGGCATCTTTCCTTCTTCATGCAAGCGAGGCCCGGCTCCCACAGGCATGGTCTCCTTGCAGCTGCGACAGCAGAGGAGGGCGCTGGCAGGGCTCTGCGTCCAGGTGTGCCTCTTTTTCTCTCCACGCTCTTTCTGGAGGAAGCAAGCGTGTCTTGAAACCAAGTTAACTCGGCACCAGGTCAGCAGGATTCAATATCTGAGTCCTGTTTACTTGGGTACGTGATACGGAAGATTTATGTTATAAAGACAGACGTGACTGATTTCTTCTGGAGATGCGGGTGGTGAACTTACCTGGAGGACGGCTAGTACCTTCTCCACTGGTCATGCTCATACTGTCTGCTTCCTGCAGTAAACAGACATGAAAACCAAAGTAAGAACACATCTCTCTCAATACACAAACAAGAACGCTGCACATTTCTAAGTATGAACAAAGATGCTGAGCTGTATTTGGAGGACAGAGCTTCATCCTCTTCACAGTTGTGGCCACATGCCATTAAAACTGTGTTCCATAATTATTCCATTAAAGTGGAAGCAATTAATTAAGAGGTTCGTGGAAGGAAACAATGTCGAAGTTGTTCCTCTTCACACCAGCTCCATCCATCTGCGGGATTTCTAGGCATTTACTATTGCTGACGACGTTTGGAAATGGAAATTCACATGCAGATGGCTCACCGTGGACGTTCTGCCAACACAGAGAAGCCCACGTGCAGCTCTTTCTGCGGCTGGCCCAGGCTTCCCTTCTCCAGCCCCAGCGTGGGTGGCCACTGTCTGCCTTTCTGACAGACAGGGAACGTTGGGAAGAGACTCGGGGCGGAACCTCCCTCCTCGTAGTAGAAACAGTGACAGTTTTTCACATTTTAAAAATAACACTTTTCTTCCAGAGTTCCCTGCTCTATCTTCTGGTGTATGACAGTGTGAGCCTTCATTCGCAGTGACTGGGGATGGTCTCCACGACTCTCCTCTGACCCACTCCTGCCGTGGGCAGTCTGGGTCTCTCACACTCCCCCCAAAAGTGTGGGCTCCGGCAGAAGGTGTGAAAGGAGAGGGTTACAGCCAAAATGAGGTTTCCAGACCCTTGTTACCTCTGCCCCCACCCTTGTTATCACAGATGATCACAGGCAGTTTTACAGCAGGCCTCCTACAGAATCACCACAGAGAAGTGACAATCTGGAAAGTCACAGGCAAATTGTAGCTATGGACTGTGGAATTTAACACATCATCTCTTGCCAGCTGGGCTGAGCAACAGCAAGGAAGAGGTTAAAGCCTTCTCACTTGAGCAGCCTTTGTTCTCGGGGCAGCTGCCTGCACTGAGCTCTGAGGCCTTTGAAGTGGACCAGAGAGTTCAGGCTCCCCAGGACCCCGCTACCTGTCCACACACTCAGGCCCCGGAAGCTTGACAACCTTTTGGCAGTGACTGAATACTTTCATGATGAGGCATTTTTAGTGTTTTTACTAATACAAGGAATTTTTACCTATCAATTGCCCTGGAAACAGTGACAACTTTCTACTTGAACTACTTTAATGTCTCCAAGAAATACCAAAAGAGGAGTTCAAGGTAGGCAAAACCCAGGAAGAAATGTGTTGCCCCAAAGTCACTCACGGTAATTACAAGTGAAAAAGTGGATTACTTGGTCTGAAAAGCACATTCCAGTATGTGTATAACATACCCTTTACACGGGAATCTCTGAAATGAGAACACACACAGGCACCCCGATGTCATTTGTGTAACTACGTCCGCATGGAAGGCAGAACGCAAATGAAACGTAGCACCCTCGCTTCTGTTTTGCAAGAACCGCTTAATTTCTCCTGCTCTTATTCCTAAACTCTTAAATCTGGCATTCGGCATTTAACATCTCAATTCTGCCTTTAAGCTGAGAGTCTCCTAGGGCTACTTTCTGGCCCCAAACCGCATGCATCACCAGTCTCTGATTTCTGTGTTACTGTCACGATCTACTCCAATGAAGCAGAAATCTTTGTCAAAGACCTATTTATGAAACTAGGGCACGGCCTTGAAGTGGTGTTAGGCTCCAGCTGCTGAGGTCATTACAGTTTTATTGTTTCTAAGTGACCAGAACAGAAGTGGTAAAACATGCTTCCCTAGGCCTTGCACCCAGACTGACAAACATTCCTTCAGGTGCCCAATAGTTCCTGAAATTCTAAGTGGTCCTGTGGGCGGTGAGAAGGGACCCTACACCTGGAGTTCACGCCACGTAGCCCGACCGTCTCCTCCTTTCTGGAGGGCTGCGGGCTCTGCAGAGCCCGGGAGAGCCCACTGAACAGTGACGTAGGAACGAGGCGGCAGAGACAGGTGTGGAGCTGCTCTCCTGGTCTCACGTCCTTCACTCAGCAGGTGCCCGCACTTATCCTGGGCCCACTGCTCACATCTCCTCTGTGCTCCTTTCTGGGTCAGGAAGAGCTACAAATTCACTTTGGTTACTTGACTTTTTATTTGTCTTTGTCAATGACATCCTGAATAAATGGGTATCAGAAATGAAACTTGTGCTAAAGTGGTACTTACAGATGTGCGTACTGGATTTAAAAGCAAATTACTGGGCATGCTACGGAAAGCTTGGCAAAATGCAGAACCTAGGGAGAACCTCTGCCACCCCCACAGCCTTGTGGACCAGCTCAGGGATTCAGGAATCTACAGGAAGCAAGTATTAAAGCAAGACAAGAGGGCACACACACCAGGGGCCTTCATCTGCTGAGTCTGCCTCCTTAGGTCCATCCTGGGACGTGCACAGCACCCTCAGCAGTGGGAACACGGCAAAGATGAAAATGAGGGACTGAGTGTGGGACACGCAGGGTGCAGGGGGCCACAGAGCCCAGGGCGAAGGGAGTCCCAAGGGAGGATGGCATGTTCTGGGTAGAGAAAGGAGTGCCTCCTGGGGAGGCCTGTGGCCACTCACACGTCCAAACCCACAGAGACACAGGCTGCGGAGGCAGCCCTGGTTTGTTTATTAGCGGCTGAGTAACCCTTTTCTGAAATGCTTGGAACCAGAAGTGGTTCAGGTTTCAGATTTTTTTCAGATTTTGGAATATCTGCATTATACTTACTGGGGTTCAGCAACCCTAATCTGAATGTCCGAAATTCCAAAATGCTTCAAGGAGCATTTCCTTTGAGCGTCCTGTTGGTGGGTAAAAATTCTGGACTGTGGAGCATTCTGGATTTCAGACTTGGGATACTCAGTCTGTACATATTTTCTGCTTCCTATCAGTAGCTTATACTATTACAGGCAGAAAGGATTAAGAAACAAGTGCTCCCGGAGATACTGGCGGTGCCTGCCCTGGCTCCTGTCGGGGACAGTCTGCCTTTGCTCCCTTCCTCCCTGCTCCCTGGCCCTTTCTGTCAGTTGTCCTCAGAGCCTCTCTTCTCTGCCAGCTACTGGACGGCCTCCCTCTCCAGCTCAGTCCTGATGGGACGCTGCCTCTGTCTGTCTCCCGCCAGCCCCCCATGTCCTATCACCTCCAAACCTGTGTCCATCTGAGGGCTCTCTCCTCACCCACACAACCAGCCGCTGCATGCCACTTAGAGATCCCTCAGACTCAGCTCAGCCTGCCCCAAGGAGCTGCCACCAGGCAGGACGAGGAAACCATGGTGGCTTCCGGACTTCTGGCAAGACCAGGGGTGACTGGGGGTACCTGTTACTGGCTGGCCGAGGGATCTGCTGCAGAGGCAGAAAGGGTTCCAAGAGTGAGACTTTCCCCTGGCAGGGACCCAGGGCTGACAATGACTAGCTACGGTTCTGCCTATGGAAAGTCATTCTGCTGTTTTAATTTGCATGAGGAGGAGAAATTTCTGGACACTGTTCTCTGCTAACAGAATCAGAAAAAAACCTGTTTCCTGTCAATCCAAGGAAGGGGGTTCTTCTGGTCTACTTCAAAGATGCTCCTGTTGTCTCTGTCATCACACTAAAGAAAGAAAGAAGCCAATGTGCATGGCATGCTTCCTGGCACCTGACCCAGGGCTATGCTCTGGGGGAGCCCTGGGAGAAGCAGATGGCTCTGCTCCCTCCAGGCCACACCTGCAGGCTTTGGTGCTGTTCCTGCTTCACTTCATTCTGCAAGAACAGCGATACTGAGGTAGGACTGACATTGCTTTATGTTTAACAAAACAATTTGACATAAATATTAAGAGAAATGTTAGCATTAATGCCAGGAAAGGAAAAACTTGGTTTTGGAAGAAGCGACCACGATCACCTCCGCCTGGGTGCTGGTGCTGTGGAGGCGCCGTCCCTGCAGCTGGTCAGGTCACACTGATCAAAAGCCAGGGAGCAGCCCAGGGGTCCAGGGATCGCCTAAGGGCAGGCCACTGGGAAGGGGCAGAACCAGGGCTTGAGACAAAGTCAGCCTGTCTGAAGCTACCACAGCGGGCCCCCTCTGGAAGAAAGTGAAAAAAGAAAAGCCTGTGACTCTTACCATTCCCAGAGGAGTCAGTACCAAACAGGTCCCACTCCACCTACCTTCTAAGATCAGGGCAGGCCGGGGCATGTTCTTGATGGTACATCTGTCTGTAAATGACACAGCTCTACCTTTCTCACTCACTCCTAGGAGTTATGACATGGTTCCACCTTCCTTACTGACTCCTAAGAGCTACACTTTACTAATGTCTCACCCACCATTCAATATATAGAATCCAAAGTCACAGAATTCCAGAGCTAGAAAGGAATACTCAAGGTTATCCAGGGCACGTGCCCGATGGAAAGGGTTCAGGGCGTTGCCTGCGGCGACGCGTCCCGTCAGTGGCAGGCCTGATGGCACACTCTCGTTTCCTCCGTGACGTGACGGGCGGGCACACCTGTCTGCAGAACCCGCAGCCTTTGCCCATCCTCCCATCTGGACTGTGGACTCTCCTGACCATCCCCTCCCCACCTTCCTGAGGCCCAGGGGGAAGAAGGGGACAACTCCAAGCCAAAGAGGGTAAGCAGAAGGTCCCCTTTCTTACCACGAGGCTAGGAGTAGGGGACACGACAGCATGCCCTGCCCAGTCAGGGCTGCCCGAAAGAGAGGCTGTGGCTCTTCCCTCCCCCCTAGCCTGCCTTACTGGGTCAGATGGGTTCTGCTGAATCCTCACCTGGAGGGGACATGCCTTTCATGTCATCAAGGTTGGCCTGGCATTTACGGCCAGGCCGGTCATGGATCTCCAGGGCGGGAAGGTGTGGATGGATGAGGCTGGGATGTCTGTTACACCCAGTGGCTTTACTCCACATCAGTCAACCCAGTATTTCCAACATTACTAGACCCTAGATCTAGACCAAGCTGTATGCCATCATCAGCTGGATGTGGACGGTCTGCAGGCCTTGAGCATTTCCACGGGATGTGGTCACTGAGGTCTCACCACCTGCTGCAATCACCTGGGTCAAGCTTCTTGGTTGGGGTGGACTCCAGATTCGCACAGAGCTGCAGGGCCCTCCAGGTCTAGCCCACCTGACCTCGTGACAGCTCTGACTGCCTCCTCTGTCTCCACATCTGTCACAGAGGTGTCTGGCATCAGCTCCCACCCTCTCATCAGGCCTTTACTTAAGTATCACCTTGTCGAGGAGATCTCAGATCCGCTATTTAAAGCAGCAGAGAGAGCGAGGGAGGGATGGAGGGGGAGTGTAAGCTCTACCCACCCATTTGGACCTAAGTGCTCTGCACACGCTCACCTTCCTCTGGGAGCAGCCTCACCATGGCTCGTGTGAGGAAGGCCTTTCACCCCAAAGACTCAGAAGCCCAGACCCTGCACTCTTCCCAAGCAGCCCTAATGTGCACTGCCAGCTGCAGACAGATCCGCCAGGATCTGCCAGGTCAGGGCTGTAGGCCCCCAGCCCACGGGGAGCCCCCAGGACAGGCGCTGAGCAATCTACACACACACGACCTCAGGGCTGCAGTTTCTGACCTGAAAGCAGACTCTTAACCAGAGTGGAGAAGCGAACTGGAGAGCCACAGCACATGCATCACACAGGACTGCAGCCCTAGGCCAGAGTCACCGAGGGCAGCAGCAACGGCCCCCAGCACCAGGCTTCAGTCTGAGGCTAGGTAAGTTTACAAAACCCCTCCTGTTGTTTTCAGGTTCCCTGTTCGTGGTTTACTCCAATCAACTGCAGTACCTTCTAAGTTAAAAGCAATCTCAAATATCCTTGCACAAACGGAAGGTCTTCTGCCCAGATCTCAGCTGCACTGCACTGGTATAAATACTCGGATGATTTAGTCAGTGACGAAGTGGAAGTGACCCTTATGTTAAACTGCAGTAGACTGTGAGAGGATGGACTGCACATGCTCAGTGGGGGCCATGTAGAAGCTCCAGATGACAGTGAGCACATGACTTGGTGGGGTAGAGTTTCCGCAGGTTAGGCTCATTCAAGGAAACATCTCAAGCACATGTAAACCTAAATTCATGGAGCCCTCTCTCAAGGACGGGCATTTCAAACACAGTGACCACGAATTCTGATCTGCCCTGCACAATCATACAGTGGACTCACAATGTTTGCTGACTGCACAGACCCAAGAGGAAAGGACACGGTACTCAACAGACGTGCGGCCCTGCAGCCTCCATGCAGACTCCACCCCAGACAGACCCCAAAGGTCAACTGGCTTCACACCGAAGACTTGCTGTGTTTTAGAGAATAATTTGAGCAGCTTGCGAGTCTACACATTTGAGACGTTGTGAAAGTCACAAATACCATAAATTAAAGGTAGATTTGGCTTTTAAGGCATTAAATGATAAATATTAGGTAATTTCAAAGTTTATGAAGTTTGGCTCTCAAAACTATAAGGAATTTGAGCTCAAATCCTGATGTGAAGCTCTCGATGTATTTAAATTCAGCATAATACACGCATTAAAACAGTATCTGTACAACATATGTAAAAAACACAGGGTTGGGGCTATTTTCTTTTTTTTTTTTTTTTTTTTTTTTTGAGACGGAGTCTTGCTCTGTCGCCCAGGCTGGAGTGCAGTGGCCAGATCTCAGCTCACTGCAAGCTCCGCCTCCCGGGTTTACGCCATTCTCCTGCCTCAGCCTCCGGAGTAGCTGGGACTACAGGCGCCCGCCACCTCGCCCGGCTAGTTTTTTGTATTTTTAGTAGAGACGGGGTTTCACCGTGTTAGCCAGGATGGTCTCGATCTCCTGACCTCGTGATCCTCCCGTCTCGGCCTCCCACAGTGCTGGGATTACAGGCTTGAGCCACTGCGCCCGGCCGGGTTGGGGCTATTTTCTACCTCACACTGTAATCCAAGTCACGGAAAATATCAGAATGCTATCACCTGAACACAGCTATGGTGAAACACTATAACCTGCCCTTTTTTCATGAGAACAATGGATCTTCCACATGTAAACTTTACAAGTGCCTTCTAGCGAGCAAATTACAAAAACTGGATCTTGAGCAGAATGAACTGATAGAAAATGAATAAAGGGGCCAGAAGCACACAGGGCTAGCATCAAGCATGGAAATTATTTGTTTTTATTTCACTAAATGATAAAACTAGATGCATCGGTATACTCATCTCTTTATTTACTGGAACTATACAACCTCTTTCTGAAAGAAAGGCAGGCAGTTATCAGCAAAAGCACAAGGTGAGAGGCAGTGCCATGCAGGTGGCCCAGCAGTGACCGCTGGCCTTCTTACCTGGTCCCTGGTCTCTCCACGGCTGCCCCTGACTGGAACGGCTATACCCAGAGCCCGTCCTGTGGTAGCTGGAGCCCTGTCTTCCCCACCTCCCTGCGGGAACACATGGTCAGAGGATTAGCAAGTTGTCAAATGTCTTAACCCAAATGACACATCATGTAAAGGTGGCAAGGCAGCACCAGGTTGGCAGTTTGCCTGTACTTAAATCAGAGGGAGGGTCATGAAAAAACGCAAATTTAAAGGCTGCATCCCCAGAGAACCCGGCTCAGGAGTGGAGTCACAGATCTGCATGTTAAACCCTACCCCAGGGGAATCAGGTATTGGTGGTGAGAGGTCAGACTCTGCAAACAAAGACTCGAGCAGCCCAACCACTCCTCTTCCCTGGGGCCCCCTGGACCCACGCAGGCCACGGCACCCATGACCAAGCCCATCCCTCCGGGGCCCTGGGTGAGGCATGAAGCAGCACTTCTGGGACTTGTGAGTTTCTCCCCATTCTCCATAAACTTCATTCACACACACTTTTCACACTTTAAAATTTCCGTAACTTCCCAGTCCATAACACCTTGTCCTGTTTGTCTCTACCAGAAGGCCTGATTAAATACAAACTCATGTGATTTTTTAAAGGAATCATGATAGTCCATGGCGCTCCACAAAGAAGGCCCAGGCCACTCAGCCCTGCCATGGGTACCGTCCCTGCTCCACAGGTGCACTGCAAGCATCTGTGAGGCGGGCCACACTGTCACCAGGACTCCCAGTGCATGACCACACATGCAGCGTGCAGGCCACAGGCCGCCTGGGGCTTTAACTATGAGTGAAGGATGGCCTTGCAGGATGTGCCTCCGCCAGGCTGGTCCTCCCTGGACATGCTGCAGTGTCCACGCGGGCATGGCTTTGTGCTGGCACATGCTGCCAGGCTCCCTTCAGGACACACATGTCTGTTAACAGACACACAAATCTGTTAGTTCAGGACCTGTATCCTGAACTAACAGATTTCTGATCATATCACCTCAAAAAACTTCAAAAGCTCCCCAGTGTGAGGTGGGTAGAAAAGTCATGACTTGCCTGGCATTCGACAGCCTCTGTGGTCTCTGAGGCCAACTTAACTTCCCCAGTGTCCTCCCACTGTGGTACCTTACCCCAGTCTAGCTACTGAAAGTCCCCCAAGATCCACCTTCCTGCCGGGATGTCATCCCTTTGTGACTGCTGCCCTTGTCTCTGAGCTACTGGTCTGCAGGACTGGTGACATGCCCCTCACATCTGGCCAGGGTCAGCCCGTGTGTGCTCATCTTACACGCGTGGTCTCCAGCTCACCTCCAGCATGGGCACTCGTGACCACACACGGAGAACAACAGGTGACTCCAAGCTCGGAGCAGTTGTGAGCTCACGGCTGTAGGTGTGGGTCCAGAGGCCAACACACCAGGAGTAGGTTGGCGTTGCAGTGGCCTGGCTGCGCAGCCCACGTAAGCAGACAATGGCAGTCAGGACTGCAGAGCCCCACGACGTCCCTACAGCCCTTCCCCAACAGAGGAGGGGTAAGCTCGGCATTACCCGAGAACACGGGGCTGGGGCCAAGCGGTGGAGGCTCCAGCCTAACGTCTGCAACTAAGAACCAACCTTGGTTTTGGGTGAGCCACGTGGGGAATAAGGTTCTTCAGCAAAATGAGGCACTGAACCATATAACCTTAAGTTGGATTTGTGAAGAAAATTACTTTGAGAACAAAAAAGGGAACAGTTTCCAAATCACAAAATGATCTTACTAATCTATCACAGCTCTTGAAATGTAGTTCACCACATTAATGGAATAATACAACAGGAAAATGTAGTCTGCCTCATTAACTTGGAATAATACGACAGGACACTGATTTCTGCCCATTTGTAGGCAAACTCCATTAGAAAGGAGTCAAAATTTAGTTTCTATACAAATTACAAGTAACTGTACCACTGCATTAAACTAACAGGTTATCTTTAGTGCTCAAAATAAACTTGTCATGCAGGACCTCATGGCCTCTGAAATGAAAGGGGAGTTTGGCCTGACAGCCGCCATGCCTGCTGCCACCTAAGCGGCAGCGTCCAGCACCCACAGGTCTCTCAGCGCCTTGTCATGGTTTTGCTGACAACCTCAGTTTGGAGAGGGGAGGGAATCCGGCAGGACTGCGTGTGCAGTGCAGACTTTTTTTTTTTTTTTGTAAAGACAGGGTCTCGCTATGTTTCTCAGGCCTGTGTCAAACTCCTGGGCTTAAATGATTCTCCCACCTCGGCCTCCCAAAGTGCTCAGATTACAGGTATGTGCCCAGCCACGGCGCACACCTCTGAGGACCTGTCAGCCAGGTAAGGAAACAGGCAATGTGAGAGAACATCACATATTTATTTTGCAATAAATCAACTTTGTTTTGGGGTCCCAATCTCTGTCTATCTATAGTTGGTGGCTGAAAGTCAAAAGACAGAGAAAAGGATTGGGAACAGTAGAAAAAGCAGCAATTCCCTCTCATGGTTGGACATGGCTCCACACACGCTGGCTGCTCTCCCTTCGTGGGGTGCTACACACGACACCTGGTGGGATCTGGGCGCACCTGAGGTAGCTCACAAAACCTCTGAGAATGGTATTTGCAAGGCTGACACCAAGTAGTTCTCCTAGAGTCTGAGTGGATAAGAATCTGGGCTGAGTTCTCTTATTCCATCGAGAAAAATAATGGGACTGCAGTAGTCACAGGTGTAAACATGAACTGAAGGAGGGCATGAAAGAATAATTAAAAAGTCTTATTAACAAAATAAGCTAATAAGATGTCTAACTTCACTGGCAGACAAAGCAGCATTCAATCAATGAGATACATTTTTCGTCTACCAAATTGTTTTTTACAAACCATCAGAACACGAGGTCAAGAGATCGAGACCATCCTGGCCAACATGGTGAAACCCTGTTTCTACTAAAAATACAAAAATTAGCCAGGTGTGGTGGCAGGCGCCTGTAGTCCCAGCTACTCGGGAGGCTGAGGCAAGATAATCGCTTGAACCCGGGAGGTGGAGGTTGCAGTGAGCCAGGATCAAGCCACTGCACTCCAGCCTGGGCAACAAGAGCAAAACTCCATCTCAAAAAAAACAAAACAAAAAAAAACCCCCAGACTTTTAGAAGTGTCAAGGGTGCCCTGAAACGGAAACTCTTGCTCACTGCTTGAGAAGGTATTCAGTGATCATTTTACCTAAAATTGATTAAATTTCAATCTATGATCCCACAGATGATGATACTCTGTTTTAAGAAAATAATAATAATACACATAAAAGCATTAGGAGTAATGAGAAAAAAATGGAAATATCCTCAGAGCTCCAAACAGGGAACAAACTATCTAGCAGTGGAAGATTCTGGGACCATTGTTTAAGAAGAATGGCGTTAACGCCCTAAATTAAGTGTAAATGGGAAAGCAGGATGCACACTGCATGGAATGTACTCACAACAAGATCCAAACATGGAAAACCTCGGCAGAAGCCCACGCTTGTTATCTTTATGTGACAGAATTAAAGGCCATGGATATTTCCTTTTTAATTACTTTCTTTATACTCATTTTTTATAATATAGTTTTATTGTAAGAAAAAATAAACCTAAACTCTTGTCAAATAAACAAACATTACCTAAGCAGCCCTTCTACTTTGGGGAACCCCAGAAAGGAGGTTACACACGCAGAGAAAGAGTTCTTAATTATTTAACTAATGAGTGAAGCCTTCCTGAGAAATTTTCCAAATGGGACCAGAATTCAAACCACTGGGTAGAGATCTATCATTTTAATTCTTCTTTTTTCTTTTTTGAGACGGAGTCTCGCTCTGTCGCCCAGGCTGGAGTGCAGTGGTGTGATCTCCACTAATTGCAACCTCCACCTCCCAGGTTCAAGTGATCCTCCTGCTTCAGCCTCCCAAGTAGCTGGGACTACAGGCGCCCACCAACATGCCTGGGTAATTTTTGTATCTTTAGTAGAGACGGGGCTTCATCATGTTGGCCAGGCTGGTCTGGAACTCCTGACCTCAGGTGATCCGCCTGCCTTGGCCTCCCAAAGTGCTGAGATTACAGGCATAAGCCACCACACCCGGCCCCATCATTTAAATTCTATTCTGTTCATCCAATTGTATCAGCCTCTTCTTAGAATCATTTATCAACAAAACTCAGGAAGCAGTTAGGGTCTACGTCTGTGGGGCTTCTTGAGGCACTTGGCCCTCTCCCACCTGCATGGTGTGAGCCCCAGTGGGCTCGGCCGGTGATGCGTCTGTTCTCCTTCATGCAGGCCTTGCAGACCACTGCCTTCAGGTTGTGGAATTTGGTGAGCCGAGATCTCTGCAAACAGACCAGATGCAAATGAGATGTGAGGGGCCAGACGTGGCTGGAAGGAAGCTTATGGGACACCCTCCCATGCCGCTCCCAAGGCTAGGCAGCAATGGTGGCTGCACCCTCCTCCCAGGCACAAACCGCAGCACCGTTCTCCTTCAGCATGGCCACATCCCAAGCTGCACCCTCCTCCCAGGCACAAACTGCAGCACAGTCCTCCTTCCGCATGGCCACATCCCAAGCGGTTCTTCGAGAACATACTCTCCCAAATCCCCCAGAAAAATAACACCAAGGAGCTTGTGTAGGTTAAACAATCATTTCTAAAAAAGAATCTTCAAGTCCTATTACGACCAATTAGGTGATTACCACACAATCTTACCTTAAAAATGTTTGGATTTAATGTATCTTAATCTTTCAATTCTTAATTATAAGAACATTCAGCAGAAATGCCAAGGTCAGAAAACAAAATCAAAAACAAAACAACATCAGCAGATCAAGAAACGGAACATGGAACATTCAACCTTTCCTTCAAGCTTCCTGTTTTATTACTATTATTCTATCCTGTACTTTTTTTTCCAAACTAGAACCTATAATCACTTGGAACTTGGTCAAGAGATTGGATAAAGAAAGGAAAAGATCCTTGATGGATGACTTATAGGCTGTGGTCCAATAAGTCTACTTTAGCTTTCATTTCTATAGCCTACTTTCCAATACTTACTGGCTTATTAGAAGCATATTTCTCCTCTTATTCTGCTTTTGCTCTCTACAAAATTCAGGCTGCTTCTAAGTTCTAAATACTTGCAGTCCTATGCCACTCTGGAATCCGTGTGTGTGTGTATGTGAGGAACAGTGATGGCAACACATTACCAAATGTGTTCTCTCTGCTGTGAAAGCTTGGAGTGCTTTATCGTGACAGACCGGTAGACCGGTACGCTCTCTCACGGATCACACCGCTTTTTGCATCCCTGCGGGTACTAAAACACATTCCAAATGAGCTTGGCTTGAGGCCTTATTTGGAAATCTTCCAGGAGTCATGTAGCGATTGTATTTATAAAGCTGGACAGCAGCCAGCGTCCCCAACTAAACTGGCAGTCTCTGGGGAGTATTTTCAAGTAATAAACCATAACTATACCTATCAGATTAGTCTGATATCTGTGGGGACACTTTCGCAGGGAGTACTTGTTCCTCATTAAAAAACGGGGAGAGGGGCTGGTCATGGTGGCTCATGCCTGTAATCCCAGCACTTTGGGAGGCTGAGGCAGGTGGATCACTTTGAGCCCACAAGTTCAACATCAGCCTGGGCAACATGGAAAAACCTCATCTCTACAGAAAATACAAAAATTAGCCGGGCATGGTGACGCACACCTGCGGTCCCGGCTACTCAGAGGGCTGAGGAGGGAGGATCACTTGAACCCAGGAGGTGGAAATTTGCAGTCAGTGGAGATTGCACCACTGCACTCCAGGCTGAGCAACAGAGCAAGACCCTGTCTCAAAAAAAAAAAGTATGTGTATTACATATATGTGTACACATATGTGTGTGTGAGAAATGCAGAGAGGAGTAAAAAGCACTTCAAAAATTAAAAATGTGTCAGACTGGTGTGATGCTGCTCGCCCTACCTAAGCATAAGTTTGGGAGTCCTGAACCCTATTTAAGAATTCTGGAAGAAGCTACAGGTTGAGCACTCCTAATCTGAAAATCCAAAATCTAAAACTGCTACAAGCGGAAAATTCCACACCTGATCTCATGTGATGGATGCAGTGAAAACACTGTTCCATGCATGTCATTAACAGTATTGTATAAAATTACCTTCGGGCTATTGTATAAGGTGTATATGAGACATACATGAATTCTGCGTTTAAAGCTGGGTCTCAGACCCAAGACATCTCATTATGTAGGTACAGCTGACCCTTGAACAACATGGGTTTGAACTGCATAGATCACTTACACGCCCATTTTCTTCTGCCTCTGCCACACCTGAGGCAGCAAGACCCACCCCCTTCCTCCTTCCCCTCAGCCCACTCAACGTGATGATGATCACCTCCATTTAATGGACAGTAAATATAGTTCTCTCTTATGATTTTCTTAATCACATTTTCTTTTCTCTAGCTCACTTACTTTATTGTAAGAATACAGTATATAATACATATATAATACAAATGATGCGTTAGTTGACTGCTTGTGTTATTGGTTAAGGCTTCTGGTCAACAGTAGGCTCTTTGTAGTAACATTTTGGGGGAGTGAAAAATTATATGCAGGTTTTCCGCTGCAGAACGATTTGGAACCCTTAACCCTTGCACTGTTCAAGGATCAACTGTATATGCAAACATTCCGAAATTCCAAAAACATTCGAAATCTAAAACACTCTGGTCCTAAGTATTTCAGATAAGGGCTATTCAACCTGTATGAGTTATGTTGACACTGAAGCCGAATGCTTCAAATCATGTGTTCCTGGTTTAATGGAATAATGGAATCTTTTATTTGGAAAGCATTAATTTGAAAAATGCAACAGCCAACTTCATGTTTTTTGTGTAGCCTGGAACTACAGGGATGTTTCTGGTGAAAGGTAGGTGTCTGTGAACTCACATTTTGTTCTAAAAGCACCTCCACAGCATAACCCTTTTCAGACTGCAAGTACTTCTGATGAAAAAGCTTCCCATCAAATATATTCCAGGGCATGAAATCACTCATCTTCCAGGGGAAGCCACACGCGCTGTTGACTAAAACCAGAGTGGTGAGGCCGCGGACGAGAAGGGAGCCCAGCTGCACTGCTCTGGGGTTGATGTAATCAGGCTGTGGAGACCAGAACACACACCAAAAATGTAAGGCAGGAGTCACATACACAGGAAACAGATCTCAGCACTGCACAGTTACTCTGCTCCAAACGGACGTTCGCTCAGAATGGACAGCGTCACCATGGCTGCGTCCTCAAAGCTGAGCTTCACCAGCTCTACTGATGACAGAGGCCTTGGAATCAAGCTCAGCTGATGGAAACGAGGGCGCCTCTTCAGTAAGTGTCCCCATCCATCCTCCCATCCGTCTGAACCTCGGCCACTGACTCAGGCCTGCACCACACACACAGGCGTGAGCACAGTCCTGCCTCCCAGGAACCTCTGGGCTGAGAACAGACATGGTGAAAACTGTGGTCCACTAGGAGAAAGCTCACATGATCACTCACTTCTGGGTGCATTCTTTCCTGAACAACTTTCTTCAAAGGCAAAGGGACAGACAGGGAAGCCAAGAGAGTATCATTTTAGACACTATTAAATTTATTGTATTTAAAAATCATAATTGTAATGATGAGTATTTGTTACGAAAGATCTAACTTTAAATGAATACTTACAATTTAAGAATAAAACGGCTTACATATCTCACCAGGTTGGTAGGCTGATAATCTTTGCAAATTAAGATCATACCCATATGAAATATTTCTTTTCACTGTCAAATTTACCTTGATGTCCAACATTCTGACTGTTCTCAAACAGGGAAGCCATCCTAAGATGCCGCAGAGGGTTCTGCATTTAGCAAGAACGCTGCATGAGACACTCTCTGCCTCCTGGCTGACACTGGCCCCAGGGGAAGTGACACTGATATCTAGCCAGTGTCCACATGAATCCATAAATGAGGTAAGTGCAACTGAATCCGTCATCGTCCGGCTTATCTATGCAGCTCAAATTATCCAAGAGGTATTTTAAATAAAACTGAAATAAATTAGGAGAAAAGTAACAGATATTTTAGCCCCTTTAGAAGTTAAGGCTTCACTTACTAAAATAAAAGCAGCTTGCTAACCATTGTAAGAAATTTATTATGAACTGAGATTATCTGAGAGTTAATCTAAGGTTTAATCACAATGATTTTGGTTGCATAGTACTGCTTTATCCTCAAATAGTGCTGCACGACACCTTGTGTTGTACAAAATTATCCAAAACAAGACTTGTTTTTAAAAACAGTAATCATTATACAAGTACACAGGGCTGAGCAGATGCTGACTAACAGGACGTGTTAGTGAGAAGTGCATTTCCTACAGAAGCCTGAAGGTGACTGCCAGTATTGTTTTCGCATCCATTCTATGCTTTTTCTTATTCACTGTTACTTACAATGGTTTTCAAATGTTAAATCAACCTTGCATTCTAAAAATAAACCCAACTTGGTCATCATGTATTATTGGTTTTATATATTGCTGGATTTGATTTGTTAATATTTTGTCTGGAAGCTTTGAATTTATTTTCATGAAACAAAACGGCCTAAATTTTTATTTCTTGTGACGTCTTTGTTAGATTTTTGCATCAGGATTTGGCTGGACTTAGAGAAACAGTTAGAAAGCCTTCCTTTTTCTGCTGTCTGGAAGAATGGGCGCAGCACAGCTGCTGGTTCCTCCTTCGGGGTCTGGAAAAACTCACAGGGAAGCTCTCTGATCCTGAGGCTTCCTTGTGGGCAGAGTTTTCATCTCAGATTCAATGTCTTCAGCAGACATGGAACCGTTCAAGTTTTCTATTTCTTCTTACTTCAGTCTTATTAGGTTATATTTTTCAAGGAATGTGTTCATTTTACCTGAACTTTTTTTACACGTTTACTCTTCGTGGCACACATTTTACCTGAAGTTTCCAATGCATTGGTATAAATGTTCCCTCATCTCTTTAGTCTGCATTATCTATGTATACAGATGTCCCTTTTTCAGGCCGTATACTGGCAATTTGTGCTTTCTCCTTTTTTGATCAATTTCATAACAGGTTTATCAGTTTTATATCTTTTCAAATTAACTTAGCAAAAAAGACTTTATGTTTTTAGAGCAGTTTTAGTTCACAGCAAAACTGAGAGGAAGGTACAGAGATTTCCCACATACCCTCTGCTTCTCTATAGATCAATGCCTCCCCCCGCCAGTCCCTGGAGGACACATTTGCTACAATCGATGAACCCACACTGACACGTCCCTCAAGTCCACAGCTGACACAAGGGTTCACTCTTGGTGGTGCACATTCTGCGAGTTTGGACAACCACGTAATGACCTGGACCCACCATGAGACTCATGCGGAGCAGGTGCACTGCCCTAAAGTCCTCCTGCTGCCCGCTCACCCTCCTCCCCTGAGCCTCCGGCAACGCCCTCCCCTGAGCCCCCGGCAAGCGCCCTCCCCTGAGCCCCGGCAAGCGCTCATCTTCCTACTGTTTCCATTGTTCTCCCTCTTCCGACTTCCTACAGCTGGAATCAGACAGTAGCAGCTTCTTCAGGTTGGCTTCTGTCCCTCAGTAATACGCATTTAAGTTTCCTCCATGTCTTTTCATAGCCTTTTTTTTTTTGGTTTGAGATGGAGTCTTGCTCTGTCGCCCAGGCTGGGGTGCAGTGGCTGGATCTCAGCTCACTGCAAGCTCCGCCTCCCGGGTTTACGCCATTCTCCTGTCTCAGCCTCCTGAGTAGCTGGGACTACAGGCGCCCGCCATCTCGCCCAGCTAGTTTTTTGTATTTTTTAGTAGAGACGGGGTTTCACCGTGTTAGCCAGGATGGTCTCGATCTCCTGACCTCGTGATCCGCCCGTCTTGGCCTCCCAAAGTGCTGGGATTACAGGCTTGAGCCACCGCGCCCGGCCTTTTTCATAGCTTGATAGACTTGTTTTTAGTACTAAATAACATTCCACTGTCTGGATAGACCACAGTTGGTTCATCTCATCACCCACCGAAGGACAGTTGGTTGCTTCCAAGTTTTGGGAGTTATGAATAGGGCCACTGAAACTTCTGTGTACAGGTTGTGGTGTGGCCGCAGCAAGGAGCACAGCTACCGGACTGCGTGCTAAGACCTGTTTAACTTTGTAAGAAACCGCTTCACAGCCATCCAGAGTGGCCGCGCCACTTTGAACCCCTACCAGCAAGGAAGGAGAACTCCTGCAAATGACATAAGAAACCTTTCTCTATTCTCCATTTGTTTCCTATTTCACTAGTTCCTGCTTTTACTATTTCCTTCCTACCTACCACACACTCCGAGTTTGATTTTTTATTTGTAATTTATAGAGATGCATACTTAGATCATTGATTTCCAGTCTTTTTTTTTTTTTTTTTTAAGTACATTCATTTAATTCTACAAATTTCCTTCTCAGAACAGCTTTCAGCTTCATCCCACACATTTTTATGGACAATATTTTCACTGTCATTCAAAATATTTTATAATGCCCACTGTGGTTTCTCCTTTTTCCCTGTGAATTATTTAGAAGTGTACTGTTTTAATTTCAAATAATTGAGAATTTTTACTTATTGTTATTACTGATTTCTAGCTTACTGTGGACAGAAAAAAGATGGATGATTTCAATTGTCTGAAATTTGCAGACGCTTGCTTTATGAACTGTCATCTAGTCAATTCTGGTAGATCTTCCATATGCACTGGAAAAGTGTTTACTCCATAGTTTTTGGGTGCAGAATTCTATAGGTCCGTTAGGATGAGTGTGTTCACTGTGTTCAAAAATGTGTTCAGAAATTCGAATCCATAGCAACCTTCTGTCTGTTTGTCCTATCAGCTCTTGAGAGAGGCTTTGTTAAAGCTCCACAGACTTCCTCTGCAGGGGCCAGACAGCGAAGAGTTTAGGCCCCCTATAGTTTCTGTTAGATGTTCTTTTTTAAACCAACTCTTTAAAAATCCCCAAAAGCATTCTTAGCTCATAGACGCACACAAAAGCAGGCCAAAGGCCACACTTGGCCTACTGGCTGCAGTTTGTGGACCCCTGTGCTCACACGTCCCACCATGATTACAGATGTGTCTGCTTCGTTTTTCAGTTGTGTCCGTTTTCATCTGATGTACCTGGAAGCTGTGCATACTAACTTGCAGATCTAGCGAATCCGCAAATAATCCTGGGGTGCTGACCTTTCTTCTCAGGTGTTCCTTCTTTCTTTCATGGCCGTTTCTAACCGAAGTCTACTTCTGATGCAGACACACTGGTTTCTTTGGGTTAGCAGTGGCATGGAACAGCTTTTTCTGTCCTAAAACTTTTAATTTCCCAGTGTCCTGAGACCTTAGGTATCTGTTTGGTTGGTGATTATTTTAATTTTTATTTTGAAATGACTACAGATTCACAGGAATTGACAAAGATAGGATAGACGGCTGTACCCTTCACCAATGGTGAACATCTGACATACTATAGGACAATATCCAAACCAGGAAGCTGACATCAACGCCATCCACAAACCTTATTCGGGTTCTAGGCAATTTCAAAACCTGGTGGGTTTGTGCAGCCCCTGCCACCACCACCAAGACACAAAACTGTCTCTTCACATAAGACCTCCCTCATGCTGTTCCAAATCTCTGGCAACTGGTAATCTGTTATCCATCTCTTTATCCTGTCATTTTCAGAATGTAACATAAATAGAATCATGTAATATGTGACCTTTTGGGATTGGCTTTTTTACTCAGTGTAATTCCCTTGAGATCCATTCAGGCAGTTCCAAGCGCCAGCCACTCACCAAGTGCCAGCCACTCATTCCTCTTTATTGCTGAGTTGTGTTCCACAGCATGGATGCACCAGCCTGTTAAACATTCATCCATTTAAAGACATCTGGGTTGTTTCCAACCTGTGCTACTACAAATACAGCTGCTCTGAATATTCATGCACAAGTTTTTGAATGAACCTAAGTTTTCACTTCTCTGGGATAAATGGCCAGGCGTGTGATTGCTAGTTCAGACGGTAAATGCATTATTAGTTTTTTAAGAAACTGCCAAACTGTTTTCCAGAGTGACCAACACCAGCCATGTAAGAGGCTACTGTATGAGGATCGCATCCTTGCCAGAATTTGGTGGTGTCACTATTTTATTTTTA